ACGAGAGCGGCCGCCCCGCCGCGCGCTCCCCGCCCCGCCAGCCCGCCCCTCCACGGCGAGGCCCTGCACGGCGTCATGGCGTCCGTATTCCCGGCACGTCCGCTTATCATGAAGAGGTGAAACACGCCAACCCCTTCCTAGACGCTGCAGTCGACTGCACTCGCGAGGACAAGGCGGTGGCGTGACGCCCTCGGGCACCCCCCCCCCCCCCCCCACCCCGCCCCACCCCGCCCCACCCCCCCGCCCCACCCCGCCCCTGAGCACTCGGCACGCCGCCGGCCACAATTACTTCCGTCGTATCGGTCAAGTCAGTCATTGCTGCAAAGGGTTGCTTGCACCCCTTTCGGCCCGATGCTCGCCGAGCTCGCCGAAGTGGCCAGGAAGTGGTTGCCGGGCGGGGCGGGGCGGGGCGGCCCTCCGAAAAAATACATAATTGCTGCCGGCAATTTGGGTTTCGTCGGCCTCGGCTTCGGTCGCGCGGTGAAGTGCCGTGCACGTGGCGAGAGTTGAGGGAAAACGGTTGGGAAATGGAAAATGGCGATGGCGGCGGCGGTGTTCGAACCCGGGGACCTGCCGTCGTTTTCGGCGTGTGCGGTCATGCGCCGGGGCGTGCTTGGCGTGCGCGGCGTGCCAGTGGAGCGACTTGACGCATCCGGCCCGCGGCGTGGCGGCGCGGCGCCGTGCTGCAAGTGCCGGCAGTCACGTATGGCCCGCCCCGCCCCGCCCCGCCCCGCCCCGCCCGACCACATCCCCGCACAATGGAATTTAACGCGCAAGGTTAATTGTTTCCGAATAATGGTGCGCGGCTGCGCGCTGCTAGGGTTGCCGCGCGGCACTTACTCCTCTGTCGCCGTGCTGCGGTGGCTGCAGTGGCTGCCATGGCGCCGGGTGGCACCTCTACACTCTGCACGCGGTGTCGTCGCGCCTGCGGATCGCGGGGTAGGCCGGCCCGCCGCGCGTCCGTGTCCGCCGGGCCGGGGCCCGTCTGTTTACCATTACCATAAAGGGCTGGCGATGCGGCGGCAGGAGGGGTGGGGAGGGGAGGGAAGGGGAGGGACCGCGCGCTGCGTGAGAGAATGCACCCTGTACTATACTGCACACGGGCTGGCTGCCTGACTGGCTGCCGCGTCGCCGCGGGCGAGGGGAGGCCTGACAAGTTGATTATTGAAAGTTGGCGCAAATGCAATTAGTTTTATTGCGCGCGGACTTGCCTATCGTTGTCACTCCGCCGGGACGGGCGCTGTGGCGAGCGGCTGTGGATGGCGGGGTGCAGAGAGAGACAGAGATAGAAAGAGAGGGTGCGGCATATTTCCATACCTCTGGCCGCGGGGCTGACGCAGGCTGACGCGTGGCTGACGGACTGACGTCGTATCGGCCCAAAGTCGCCGCACCGGCAATAAGGCCACGAGGACCCCGACGGCCGACGGCGTCCGAGGCGGCTTTGTTTGGCGCGATGGCCATTCACGTCGCCGCCAGTAACGCGCCGCCGCCCCCACGTCAGCCAGGGCCCCACGGGGCGCCGACGTCAAGGGAGGTGCGAAAAAGAAATTAAAATTAAAACACGCGTGTTCGGCGGAAGAGGATGCATTGTCTCAGCCAAAATTACGCCTGCCCCGAACCAGTGGCAAACTAAAATTAAAGATAGATTAGTTGGATATTTGAAGAGTGGGAATACTGGGATACTGGGAATACTGGGACATTTGGCGAAGGCTGAAACCACAGTTAGATTTGACGCAGTGGCCTCCCGAATTCAGCCCACTGCACGACAAGCCGTCTACACTGTAACGACGACGGAACTTCTTGGTCGCGTGGCGACGCAGGGCGGTCGTCTTGGTCAGCCCCAGTCGCCGTGCATGTGTGTGTGCATGTGTGTGTGTGTGTGTGTGTGTGTGTGTGTGTGTGCGCGTGTGTGCGTGTGTGCATTACGTTACGTAATTTATGGTCCCCTCCGGGGGTGGTCAGTGCGCGGCGCGTGTGCTCGCGTGTGTGCGGAGGCTGCTGAAGCGGTGACCGTTTATTGCTGCTGACGGGGCTCTATACTGTTAGTGGCGACATTAGTGACTGGAATAATGACTGCATGGGGATGATAAAACCGGCGGATGAAACTGCGCTGCGCCCCGTTCCTTGCTTCCTCGGTTCCTTCCCTGCACTGTAACTTGGCGGCGTTCGGCGCTGAAAGGGAACGCGTGTTGCGGAACCGTCCATCAAAGCGACGCGAGCGAATTCTCGAAGCCACCACCGAAGTCGCCGCGCCCGCGCACTCGCTTTCAAAAAGCAAAATCAATTTTGATTTCTTTGAGGCCGCGCCGGGCTCCGTTATTTTTTCCTCCGTGATCCGCGGCCCGTGACTGCAGCAGCACAGCAGCACTCCCCCTCCGCTCCGTGCTCCTTCAGGCCTCGGGGGCGCGGCGGTGGCGCCAGGGCCGTCGTCGCCAGGGCCGTCGTCGCCAGGGCCGCCCGCCGGCTGCGGATGATGGTCGCGCGGAGGCGCAGACGGACGAGTTGAATGCGTTTACGCAATAACTGTTATGGCGGTGCGCTTGACGCCCGTGTTGCCGCGCGCAGGCACGTGTGCGGTGCACTTGTTGTCGTCGGCAGTGCAGTGCCCAGTGGCGGCAGTGCGGCGGCAGTGTGGCGGCAGTGTCCAGGGCTCTTCATCGCGCGCCCATCAAACTCGTCCGATTGTGTGGCGTCGCGCAGTGCGCAGCCGAGCCGGCCGAGCGGCAAGTCGCGGCCAGCCTAATGGGCCATTGTCCCGGGGCGGGCGGGGCGGGGCGGGGCGGCGGCGGCGCCCGCGGCGTGCGGTGGGGCGAGGCGGGGCGGGGCGCACTGCTGCGGGCTCCGCCCGATCAAGAGCGCCGCGCCTACCCTGCGTCGAAAAAAAACCAGCACGACGCTCTAAATAGCGAAATATGAAAAATTGCTCGGCCATGTTTGCAACTAATCTGCATGATGGGTCCGACGGCGCGCTCGCCCGCTCGTCTCCCCTCGTGTACTCGCTGACGTACTTGTGGAAAGTGGGTGGGGTGGGTCGGGCCCCCCTCCCTCCCTCCCTCCTCTACCCTTGCTCATGCCATGCTTCATGTGGGACCCCAGGCGGCGCGCGGCGCGGGGGCGGTATGGCCGTGGAGGGTCAGAGCACGTACGTACGGACGATGTCGTGATGCTGAGGATGCCTCCACCGCCCCCCGCACTGCTCGCCGCTCTGCTCGCCGCTTTGTCCCCGAGACCGCCTCGCTGCTCGTCGTGTAGTCCGTGTTGTCGTGTTGTTGTGGATGGAATTCAAATTCCGCGCCGTTTTTCCGCGGTGCCCCGCACAGCGCGCCACTGATGCTGGCTCCTCGTTACTCCACCGTCGGCGCACACGTCGCATTGCAGCCTGCGGCCCTGCGGCCCTGCAGCCCTGGAGCGAGGCGGCCGGGACGACGAGGAGCTGATACAACTTGTAATCCCGGCCGCGCGGCCCGCCTCCACCAGGGCTCCACTCGGCTCCACTCGGCTCCACTCCTCCACTCCCCCGACTCGTCTCGTCTCGCCACTGAATGCGCAGCCAATCCTTTTGTGCGTGTCAAAATGGCGATAAGCAGCCGTCCTCCTTTGTAATCCTCTTATCAAAATGGTTTGGCAAATGCCTCAATCTGTAGCGTTCAGTGTGTCGCGACGGCGGCGGGACGGCCGGGCCGGGTCGGGCCAACCACCCCGTCGATCGTGGCGCGCAGCGTTCGCAGAGCCGCGCGCCGAGCCGTGACCCCGCGAGGCGAGGCGGCGGTCTCTCCCCGAGGACACAAACTACTCCCTCTGCACGCCCCGCCGCACGCCCCCCACGGGCCGGGAGGAGGGCCGGAACAAAGTGAGGCGACGACTTGGCCTTTTGATGGGCCGCGCCGTGCCGCGCCGTGCCGTGCCGCGAAGCGCAGCCTACACTGTGGCAAAGGCGCTTGATTGATTGGGGGCGGTTATCGCCTCGTCGGCGGCCTGCTTCGCCTGCTTCCTCCCTCGTCGCCGCGGTGTAGCGACTCGGCCTCAGACTCCGCGTCGTCGTCGTCGTCGTCGTCGTCCTGGTGGAAGTAACGAATGGCTCGGCGGCGACGCGCCACGCTCGACCTGCTAACTAACGAAGTCCGGATGCGCCAGCCAGCCGCATGAAAGAGAGCCTTGACCTCGTTCCGAGTCGGCCGGAAATTAGTCCGACTTCCGGTCCGGCTTTCCCTTTCGCTCGGCCGCGACTCGAGCTTGCCGTCGGCCTGCCGGTGGCACCGCGCCTTCCGTCATCGCGTGGAAAAATCCCGAGAGGGCGCATTACGGTGTGTGTGTGAGGGAGCCAGCGCGTCTGTGTGTGTGTTTTCTCCCGCTCACCCTCTTCTGTGTGACCCCGGAGGTCAAACTCCATTCCTTCCCGGAGTCGTTGTGTCTTCCTGCCCCCTGGAGTGCGCCGGGCTCTTCTGCCGGGCTGTGCCGGGCTCCGGGGCCCTCGGCTCTGCGACTGAGGTTCCGGTGCGTCTCCGGACGGCTCTCCGGACGACTCTCCCGGAGCAGAGGCAAGCCGGGCAGGCGGGCAGGCGGGCAGCCAGTGCCGTGGCAGCACTCAGCGTGTTTTGTCTCTGTCGCACCGGGAGTCCGGGAGTGCTTTCGGCTCTCTTTTAACATTGTATGACGCGCCTTGCCGCCTCTCTGACTTCACCGGGCGGCACTGCGGCCGAGGCTGCGGCCCGGAGGAAGAGCCGCGGCAAGCCGCGCGAGAGGGAGAGAGACAGAGAGGCGGCCAGGTGGAGGAGAGCGTGTTATTGAATGTGTGTCCGGCCTAATCCCCTTCAGCCCCATTCAGGGCGACGGCCACGGGGGCGCCACTGCGGGCCGGGCCGCCTCCGCGCAGCGTCCTCGTCGCGCCGCCTCGCTCAGCCTGCAGCACTCGGCGGTGCGAGCGAGGCGGCGCGGCGAGCGGCGCGGTTCGAAATCACTCTGCCGGAAGCCTAATGGACGTGCGCGTTTTGCTTTTGCAGGTCCGCCGCGTCGGGGCGCGTCAGTGCTGCAGTTTGGCCGCGGAGAGTGGCGCCCATGACCGCGTGAGCGCTGCGTGCGCCGCGCACCACGTCGCCGCCATGTCGAGGGCCGGCGCGGCGCTGGCCGTGGCCAAGGCCGTCTCCGAGGCCGTCTCCAAGGCCGCCGCGGCGCTCGTGCTGTCCGCCGTGCTGCTGAGCGTCGTGGGACCCGTCGCCGCAGGCAGATCCTCCGACAAGTCCAAAGGTAAGGCAAGCAGTAGTTGTTGGCTAGTCGCGCGGCGGGGAGCGAGAGAGCGCGCCAAAGAGGGAGGGGGCGGAAATCCGCGGACGGCGATGAGGGGGAGCTGCGCTCGGCTCAAATCCGGCCGGTGAGGAAAAGCGGACGGCCGAGAGAGAGAGAGTGCGCGTGTGTGAGTGAGCGCGCGCCCAGAATCTCAGAACGCCGTTATTCGCAGCTGGCTATACGGGGGGAGAGCGGCGTGGACCGAGGCGTTGGCCCTCCGGGGCGGCCCTGCTGGGCCCTAAAGGACCGGGCCGGGCCTGGCCCCGGGCCCTGCAACCGCAGCTTTACTCGCCACACCTGTCGCTCCATCACGGAGAGCGCTTTTCATATCGCAGTAAGCCGCTTTCTCGAGATTCTCGCCCGTCTTTCGGAGGGGGAGCCAAGTAGTAGTGGTAGTACGAAGAAAGGGGAGCTCACTGTGTGCGTGTGTGTGTGTACGTGTGTGTGTGGTGTGTGTGTGTATGTGTATGTGTGTGTTTCAGGGAGGAAAAGAGCGAGGGAGGAAACAATAAGCGAAATGTGTCGGGCCGTGGGCGTGGCAGCGCGGCGGCGCGGCAGGCAGGCGGTGTGTGTTGCGCGAGGATGTTTGCAAAGTAGAGGGGCTGTTTTGGAAAGGAGCGGCGGAATAGTGGGGAAAAATAAATAAAAATATCACGGACGATGATCGTCCGTGCCACCGCAACGGTGCGAGCCATACGGAGCCATACGGTGGCCGGGGGTGTGTCGGCGATCGCGCACGCGGCGCTGAAAAACGCAACTCGTCGTGTTTGTTTGGTTGTGGCATTTGCCGGGTCGCCTCGCCACGCCTGGCCACGGCGCGCCACGGCCTGGGCTGGTGTTGGCCCACCCACTGTTTGTCCGCGCGTCACTTTTGCACCATCTGCTGTGCACTTCGCGCCTGATCGGTTCGCCTCCCCTTGCAGTGGCGCGGCCCTGGCCGGCCCTGGCCTACCCCATGCACTTCCCTGCACTCGCCCCGCCAGGCATTGCACGCGCCCCGTGTTTCACGGCCAAATGTGCGTCGCGGCGTCGCGGCGCCGCGCTGTTCCACGGTTCCATCTGGTCGGCCTGCCGACTGCCGTCCCCGCTGCGCGCGAGGCGCTCGACGCCCCGCCGCGGCGCTAACTCGGTTACGCTTCGAACATGCAGGCCCTGTGCGTGCGTGTGTGTGTGTGCGTGGCGCTTCTTTTAGACTAGACAGACATGCGCGCCGACACGGCCTTTGGTCAGCGGTTCTGTCCATCTGTCCGCGTTTTGCCCGTTTGCCGCTATGCGTCTGCCGCGCCTCCCTCGCCTCGCTGTCCGTCAGCCCGGCCCGTCCGTATGCTGGCCGCCACGGCCGCCACGGCCTTCCCCACGCGCGTGCGAGCGCGAGCGCTGTAGTGTTTCCCCGCCCAGAACAACAAAATCACCCTCCACCCCAGTGTGTTTGAGCCTCTTGAAGCCACCCCTGGCGTGCCGTGCCCTGCCGCGCCCCACCCCCTGCGCGCTTGCCGCTTCCCTCCCCGAAATTCGCGGCAAATCGGCCACACACCCGCGCCGCCCCCGCCACGCCGAGCCAGCGCAGAACACTGCGCGTTTGGCCCCGTTAGCCGAGCCGGCGGACGCGACGCCGCGCGGTTCGCTTCGCTTCGTGCTTCGGCCGCCAATCTGGCCGTGGCGGCGTTTCAACTCGCGCCCCGAAAAGTGACAAACGCGCGCGCCAAAAATATTGGAGGGCGTGCCGCCCCTCAACGCGGCGGCCAGGCAGGCAGATTGACCCTGGACTATCGGCAAATCAGGATTAATGACAGGCTGATTGATTGAATAATTGATTGACGCCTGATTGATGTGTTATTGGCGCGGCGGTCGCGTGGGCGGGTGTGCGGGCGTGGCCGCGGGGTCAGCGCGTGTCTGTCTGTCTGTCCGTCTGTCCGTCCGTCCGTCCGTCCGCCCGCCTGCGTGTGACACGGCGATGATGGCCCGGTCGCCCCGATATCTCAATAAGAGCGATAAATAACCTCCGCGCGCCACGCGGCCCGTCAGGACAGGGCCGCCTTGGCCGACGCGATGAAGTGGCCGCGGCAAGACGAGGCAGGCCGAGGCAGCCCGGGGCGGGGAGGGCCGAGGCCGAGGGCCGCGGCGTGGCCTTGGCGGTCGGTGCGGCCGGAGGGTGGCCTGGCCCGGGGCGGTGGCGGTGTCCCGGCCTGGCAGGGCAGCCTGGCAGACTGTATTAGGTTGTCCGGCCGTTTGGGTCCGTTTGATTCGAGGCGGCCCGGAATTGGGCCGGTATTAGTTGTAAACGGTCTTGTCCGCGGCGGGGTGGCGGGGCGTGGCGGCCCGGCGGGGGAGGGCGCCGACGACGACGCCGACGTCGCGACGGCGCCTTGATGAGGAGGGGAGATCCTCCCCCGCGGCCGCGCCCGGCCGCACCTGCGCGCGTTCTCAGAAAACAAGGCTGGCCGCTGTCGCTGCTGTCGCGTGACTCGACGCCCGGCTTAATACCCTCCTCAAGGCGTTTGCCCCGTCGTCCACCCCGACCCTCCCATCCCCCAATCAACGCGAGGCCCTGCTCGGGGTGCGCCGCACCGCGCCGCGCCACCGGTTCCACGAAGTACAACTGCGCGTCGGCTGCTGCGAAGTGAGGCCGAAAAGGAAACGGCCTTGGCGGCGCCGCGGCGGTCGCCGTCGGCGGGACTCGAACCGGCGCCACGAGACTCGACGACGGCGTTGGAGTGTTTCTCCGGCCGGTCGACGGAATGGCGCGAACAATGGCGAGCTGGTTTTCCGCCGCGTCGCCGAGGCCGAGGCCGTGCCGCGTAGGGCGGGGGGCGCGCCGGCTGGAGGGTGGAGGAGGCGGTCTTGAAAGGGTCCATTGAAACCTGTGAAACGCCGCCCGGGCTGCCGGGCTCCTTGAGTAAAATTAGCGAAAGTGGCGAGGCAAGTCGCGGCGTCGAGGGCCAGCCCACCTGTTGCCGCCCGGGCCGCCCGACCAGGCCGCCGGGCCACCGGGCCGTCACCGAGTCCTCATAAGGCCCTCCACGGCCAGGCGGCGGACGGGCCGAGGACGGCGACGGCGCGGACGGGGAAAGGACCGGCTGGCCGCGGCGCTGCCTTGCTTGGCCGTCTCGAGGAGCGGCCCGCCCCGCTCGGCCGCGTTGGCGGGGCGGCGGGGCGGCGGGGCGGGGCGTACCGTGTCCGTCGTCGCCGGCCCGGGGTGGGCGCCCTGCACCCTGGGTCCTGCGCCCTGGGCCCTGGCGGGCGTGAGGGAAGGGAAGCACTATCTCGCTGGCACAATCCCAGACAACTTTTGTGATGGGGATCGCCGAGGTAATTATGTTAAGGCGGCTGGCCCCCACCCCCTCCCCCACCCCGACCGGTTCCCACCAATCACGCTCCCAGTTTTGGCGGCTCCGCAGTGGTGTACGAGTTGCCCATTTTCCTCCCGACCCCTTTCCCAACGCTTTTGCGCTTTTTTCGGCGCCTCTTTTGGCCTGTTGGTTTGTCGGTTCTTGGCGCCCCTTCCCCGGCGTGCGCGTGTGTGAGTGCGTGCGTGCGCATGCCCGCGCCTGTGTGTGCCCTGGGGCGCTGCCAAGTGAAGGCGAGGCGAACAAGCGACTTCTCCGCCCGCTTCTTCACGTGCTCGCGTTGCGTCGCGTTGCGTCGCCTTGCCATTATGTTTCCTGTATTCTGACCCCTCCGGGCCTTCCGCCCCGGCCAGGCCGCCGCTGCTTTCGCTCAGCTTCGCCCGCAAAGTCCGAATCCGGGCGGCTTTTTCTTTGCAGTCTGTTTTTGCATCCTCGCGCGGACGTCCGGCTGGAGCAGAAAGGAGGTGTGGGGCTGGAGGCACGCTGGAGGCACGCTGGAGGCACGCTGGAGGCACGCTGGAGGCCGCGAGGAGGCCGCACGGCGCGGTGTTTGGAATATTCAGCAGCCGGGCATTGTTGAGCTGCTCATCCCGGCCGGGCCAACAGGGCGATTCCGAACCATTCGCTGTCTCTCTCGCACCCCTACGTGACGTCACATGGGAGCGAGAGAGACAGAGCGATGAGTGCAGGCAGGTCGCGAAGCCCCGCCGCAGCGCAACGTTTTGCACAAACTTTTGCCGAAGCGCGTTGGTTTAAGAGCGAGAGCGACGCGACCGGTGGCCAGGCAGGGTCGAGGCGGTGTGCACTCGTTGTACTTGAGGGTCGCCCGCCCCGCCCCGCCCCGGCTCGTGGTGGCTCGTCCGTCCGTCCTGTCCGCGGCAGCTCATTTGCGTCCCGCGGGGCGGGGCGGGGTGGAGCGGGGTGCGGCGTGGCGGGGCGTGGCGGATGGCGTTTTTATGGAAAGCAGTGCCGAGCAGCGCGGACACCACGACGCGGTCATCGCGAGAGGCCCGCCGTTGCCTCCCCCCGACCGGACCCTGGCCGGCGGGTCCGGGGCGGTCCGGAGCGGTCCGGAGCGCGGCCAGAACCCCCTGTGCTTCCTTCCGCCGACCACTGTGTGCACACTGTGCTCCCTGCGCCGGCCAATTTATGTAGCCGGCCACAAAACAGTGGGGGGGGGGGGCTTCTCTGCGCCTCGCTCTCTCTCTCTTTTATTTACTTGAGTGTATGTCTGTTTGTTTGCCCCTGTTGATTGGCCGATTTCAATCCGGCGGCGTTTGCGCCAATGGACCGGCCCGGCCGCCCATCTCTTCCTCTCTCTCTCTCTCTCTCTTCCTCTCTCTCTCTCTCTCTCTCTCTCTCTCTCTCTCTCTCTCTCTCTCTCTCTCTCTCTCTCTCACTCTCCCTCTCGCTCTCCCTCTCGACGCGTTCCCAGCAGGTCCTTGTTGACGCGTTGCGCGGCTCGGGCCCAGATTACAGTGCGGGCGTCCAGGATTACCGCCCCGGTTTATCGGTCTTACACAGTTTGGACGCGACACGGACAAGGAGCGCGTCACCTGTGTGTGTGTGTGTGGTGTGTGTGTGTGTGGGTGTGTGTGTGGGGGAGAGAGAGAG